ATTTTTCTCTACTCTAAGCATTGCATGACGCTTGAAAAAAGCTTTGCATAACTTTTTTTCTGCTGCTTTGTGGGTGACGCCCTCTTCATCTAGCATACTTTCGTTGATTAAAAATTTTCGTCGAAACCTCGTGTACTGTGTGTCCTCAGCTGCTTTTAATGTGTTTTTAATAAAAACGGTTCTTTTACGGACATGCCTGCGTTTTCTTCACATCACAGACCGTTGTATGTGTGCGTTCATGTGTCTATTTTTATGATTATTGGGCTTCCTGGCTTACATCGTTCCCCCCTCCCATTTTCTTTTCACTTTCTTACGTCCTTCTCGCATGCTAAGCGTTTGATCAGCTTATAACCCTTCAAAGCTCTCGTATTCTGACCGTTCGTCCCTAAGCTGACAGTACGGTAAGCGCTACCTGCTCATTTGACCACGCTCCCGCCCGTACTCACGCGCAGCAGGCGGCTCAGTTGATGAAATGGTGGCGATTGGTTAGGTGGGCGTGAAACCCCCACCATATTAGCTCAGGGGTGAACAGAGATCTCATATATATATATATATATATTGACGTTCATACTTCGTCATCGTCTTCATTCACAACCACCGTGATCGTCATCGACTCACGCGGCGCATGCTGGCCGAATCAGTTGGAACCTGGTCCTCAACCCACTCGGTTATACATTAAAAGCAACCTTCCATTATCCATCTAAGAATATATATATATGTATGTATACTGCCACCGGCGTTGCGTTGGAGGTTGTGTACCGTCTTTTTTCGTTATGCGGTGTAAGTTTAAGAGCACAGGTGACGATGTCTAGCATATCACGATCATGAAGCATGCTTAATGTCACGAATGAAGGTTACGAGAGGACGAAGAGCGAACTAAAAAAAAAGTTTAATCGGCGAACTTGTGCCAACCTAAATAAAGAACGAGCGTCGAGGCAGCAGAAAAACGGGCGGCGATTTGGCGGCGTAACAGCAAGCGAGAGCGAGACTGACTCGACAAGGCCCCGCGCAGCTCCTTATCCAGTGTGCGTGACTATCTCGAAAATTCGGCAAAGGAGCTTCGAGCGTCACGTGGTCGGGGCGAGAATGAACAAGCACTTTCGAGAACAAGAAAGCAGGAATGAATGATAAAAGTTTGGTTCGGAGCGAGAATAAACGCGAGTCTTCCAAAGGCCCGTGGCCGAGCGTTGCTTTCGCGGCCCTGCGGGTGGCAATGTTGTAAGCCCTCTTTCACCTGTTGTGCCCACAGGAGAGCTTTCATGGTCATTTTCATTTGAAGCGTCTAGTTCCTTTAGAAAAGAGTCGAACACTGTCATGCCGTCAGGCTGTCAAGCATTATTATTTTTTTAAGAAGAAAGTACAATAGAGGCTACAAGACATCAGCGTATGCTGAGGCTGTAAACGAGTTTATTCTGACGGCCCCTTATTTTCGTGTATCTCGCTAAGTATGAATTTCAGGAATATTTTAGAGGGCAGGTATTTTACGGCTGAAGTGGTTCGATGCGTATTCGTTACCAGTGTTGCGGAATGAGAAAAAGGTCCATTCAATGGACCTTTCTTAGAAGCGCTCTGCGCACGCGCGAGCGCCCGATGCCAAGTGGCGGAAGTCGGCACGAAAAATCAAGAAAATTCGGAAGGAGGCTATGGATCAGCGAGTAGAGCACGTAATTGTATATAATTGGGTTACACAAAGAACGAAAGTGAACGGAAAAAAAAAACACGACGTTTGGGTGGACGCCACGAGTGCCCCTCTTTAAAGTTGCGTTGGGGACGCGCCGCTGCTCAGACAGCGAAGAAACTGGAAGCGTAGTCCCATTATCGATTGGAAGCGCAGGTAGGTCACGTCCTCGATTTTTGTTTGTGCAGCCACCGCCTGGTGCCGTCGGTACGTGGAAAAGGTCCATTCCTTTCAACTCCTAGGAATGGCGACACTGGGCCCATTCCCACTCCCTGGAATGGCTGAACTATTCCACTCTACTCATTTAGTTCCTAAACGTGAAAAATAACTCTTGAGAGCCACGTTCTGTTACTGCGAAAAGCAACTTTAAGTTGACGTTATTAAAGGCGTAGACAGCTGCAAAAATACACAAAACGCGTCTCCAAAGCACTGATTTCAGTAAGCCGTGTGGTAGTCGCACAAACCTCTTGGTGGCACTTGGCGGCAATACAGTCACCGATCGCGCAATCAAGCGTAAAACGCTTGCAATTAACAGAAAAGAAAAATTAAAACCACCCAATCTTTATTATAAGGACGGACACGTCGGGGAATCAGCTAGTTGAAGAGGTCGCCACCAATCGACTTTTTAAATAGTCCGTCGCATTCCTCTGGCGCCCCCTCTCGCTGTACATAGCTGACGTCGCTTGATTAAATTCATTCCTCTGTTGTGTTCTGGAACGTGTAGGTCGCTGCCTGTCTCGCTTCGCCCTGTCCTTAGGGTACGGGGCCTCGATCTATCAAACATGGTTTCAGAAGTGAACCGGCCTCGACGCTAGCCTTCAGGACACTACAATCATGTCCAAGGACTCCAGCCCGCAGTGGGTCAGCGTCAATCTGCAGCAGCCGGACGCGTTCGACTTTTCGAATGTCGGGACTTGGCAGAAGTGGCGAGACCGCTATGACGACTATGTCACCTTCCGAAAGACCTCCTTCGGAAGGCAGATGACCTCCATCTGGCCCTCCTCAGCTACCGAGACACCCCGGGGGTAAACGGTTTCAGCCCAGCCCAGCTTTTGATGGGGAGCCAGCTGAAGACCCGAGTTCCTAAGCGCGACGAGCAGCTTCGTCCAAACTGGCCAGAGAAAGACAAGGTCACTAGCAATGATTTGGTCTACGAAAGACAACAGGCTGCAGACTACAACCGGCGTCACGCGGCCAGGGGCCTGCCGTCACTTCGTACCGGAGAGAAAGTCTGGGTGAGACCTGATCAAGTGCGCGCTTCAGTGTTGAGTCCTGCTGAACGACCACGAAGTTATATCGTGGAAACACAATGTGGTGCAGTTCTTCAACGAAATTGCCATCTTGTGTCTTTCGGTGGAGACGCACAACCGCAAGATTAGCCCGAACCAGCGCAACACGTTCTGGTTCCTGAACGACCACGACTTGCAAGCTCGACAGGGCCGCCCCCTGCCACTGAGCCGGTCCGGGTCCCAACTGACAGCGACGGTGTTGTGCGAACTCGTAATGACCAACGTGTTGTTCGGCCGATTCGTTTAAATTTGTGAAGTTCTATGTAGTTGGCTTCCTCCATCTTTCATAAAGGGGGGAGATGTAGAAGTCGCCACCTATCGGCTTTGTAAATAGTCTGCCGCATTCCTGTGGCGCCCCCTCTTGCTGTACATACAGGGTGTCACAAAAGAAAATTTGCACGGTCTTTTTTACCGCAAAAATAAACTAAGCATCGCCCAACGCTCATTCTCCGCCCAAAGGTAGAGCTAGAGGTCACAACCAGATGCCAAAGTTTCAGCCCGATCCGATGACTTAATCAAAAGTTATAAGTGATTTTCTGAAAGTTTCAATGGGAAAATGGAGCCCCATGTGTTTTAAAACTCCGTCGGCCGCCATTTTCCCATTGAAATTTTCAGAAAATCGCTTAAAACTTTTGATTAAGGAATGGAATCGGGCTGAAACTTTGGCATCTGGTTGTGACCTCTAGTGCTACCTTTGGGCGGAGAATGAGCGTTCGGCGATGCCTAGTTTATTTTTGCGGTAAAAAAGAACGTGTAAATTTTCTTTTGTGACACCCTGTATTTTATGTCGCTTGACTAAATTCATTCTTTGTTGTGTTCTGGAACGTGTAGGTCGCCACCTGTCTCGCTTCGCCCTGTCCTCAGGGTTCGGGGCCTCAATCTGTCAAACACTAGTGACCCTGCGTGTCACCATAGTAAGCCTCCCATATGCTGACAAAACCTGGCAGATCGCCACGAGAGGCGGCCGCCAAAATGGAAAAGGTGGAGAGGCAGACAACGGATGAGAGGATGGATGGATGGATGAATACGGCTGAGCCCTTTGGATCGGGCGGTAGCTTACGTCACCAGGAGAGACACGTGACTGGCGCCATGCTGCGGCGAGACGCCGAAACACACTTCTCCCGAGCGAACAAGTGTGTTTCGGGTCCTCGCTACTGCAAAAGCTGTGCGCTGACGTCCAGGTTCCCAGGTGCATTAGTCTTATTAGTCATGGTAAGTCTATATCTCCAGACATCGCAGTATTTCTTCATGTGCTTAGGCTTTCTTTTTTTGAGAAGGCAGAGCGGCGCTCTAAGAAGCCTCCAATAGGCTGATCCCTTCCTCCATAGCTTTCACGGGGGCGATGAAAACGGATGAAAATTGATTTTGCCGAAAAAAGTTGTTCGAGTGCTCTTCAGTGCTTCAGATGGTCACACAACAAACCGTCAACGGTTGGGGGGAATATCCTAAATACAGCCAAAGCCGCTAAACTTTGATGTTATCTCGAAATGAAATCATAAAGCCGCTGAAAGCGCTGCCGCCGATGCCGCTCCGCTTCTTAACGCGCGCTTCTCTGCTCAGCGTGCCATCTGGGGACTCCTCGGTGAACTAAAGCATATGTCTATGAATCCTGGCCTTGAAAGCAGGAATGCACGTTCCGCATGGCGACTTCCGCCCACAATCCCAGACCGGAAGCGCTCTCGACGGGCCACCACCGCGCCGTGACGTAACAGAGTTCACCAACTCAACTCACCGGCATCACGCCACTATGGTGACGCTGCTATCGGTACTTCGCATGCCCAGACGCTTCAGTCCTTCCTGTCACTATAACAACAAAATGGTGAATGTGTCTTCTAAAAAAAAAAAAAAAACGCGTATAGATCGCGGACAACGCGTTATCCAGTCATCTATGTATCGCGTTGCGAAAGGCGTGTAGATTACCTGGCAGGAGCAATAGCTGCGGTGTTCCGGTCTTGAGAGAGTGGCCGTCGCTTCTTCGGCTGTTATATTGAGCATTTCATAGAACAGTTTCTCGGCTGCCGCCAGAACAGCTCTCATGAGTGTAAGACACAGTTCGCGTGTTCCGTAGGAGTTTGGTGAGCACTGTAAGCATACATGGATGAGCGGGAACAGTCCGTCATGTTTACTCTGAGCATCTGCTAGTCGTTAGGGGCGTTCTGGTCTGACTCAAGAGTTGAGGTTCCAGTATATTAATTCTTTGACAAATCGAGATATAATGGAGTTGTAGAGACCGCAGTCGTAGCAGAAAGCTGGGCAGGGTGTTCCTACAAACATGTGTTATGACTGACTGTACGAATTGTGCATAGATGCGTCGCAAGTTCATACCAATGCCAGCTACGTTTTCTATTTACGAAACGTTCGCGTAGTGTCCTCCCACGCTCTGCAACTGTGGCTGCCCACGTGTAGTAAAACGGTGAGCGGTTAGTGATCGAGGCAGGCAGCCATTTAAAAATCCCATGTCACAAATACAAAAAAGTAAAAGCGCTTTTGTTTTTCCGTTTCGAGGTTTGCGAAACATTTCAGCCATCCCACTCGCAGGTTAGGACAAGTGCATCGCAACGCGCAGATGGTTCTCAACAGCTGGAATTGCACACCATACTACAGCTCATGCCAAATAAACAACTAAAAAAGAGATAATACACTTGGACTGAAAGTACCACGGGCACATCTGGTGCATTTACGTCCAAATGACGTCCTGACCCTTCCACGTGGTCCTTATAGATGTAGGCTTTCGGAAAACAATAAAAACAAACAAAAGACAGGGTGCATTTTTGTTTTTAATCTTCATTAAAAAAACACATCTTTTCGAGTACGGATAGTACAATTGTCTCTTGCATCAAATGTCATTTTTTTTAAATACAAGTTTGTTGGCGTCATGCATCGAGTTCCGGCATGTGTGAGTTGCAGCTGTGCCCCGATCCTCAGAATCTCTCAAATTTAGAGCAGCTCATACGAATCCGTATTGTCAAGATGGCCGGGTCGTCAATCTGCTTCCCACTCCTGGCAACAATGTTCCAATGGGCGACAGCTTCAAGCTCAGAATGCGACCAGACACCCCTCGCCACGTTCGACCTGAACAAGGTATATATCACCTAAACTCACTTTATCAGAACTCTTTTTTTTTAAACTTTGACTTTGCAACTGTCACAATCCCGTGCTTTTTTATTTCTTCTCGACAATGCTACAAATGCGAATGCTACAATTTTATTTCAGCCAATAAAATTGTAGCAATCGCCGACGGAGGTTTCTCCGTGATTCACAATTCAATGATGCAAGGACTCACGCATGCCCTGGAAAACGCGACTCTCGCAGATGATAAACTGCGGCTTCAACGGCGAGTCCTGGTCCATCTCCAACGTTCCAGGCGAGCCGCTCTTCTGCGGGGCGAATATCATCGACAAGACAAGCGACGGAAACCTACTTTCATACGACATCGACGGACGAACCTGCAACAGGCTGCCGTGAGTTTATCACAATGTGGTTCACACTTCGTGGTACCTCTGAGTGTAAGAAAAAAAAAAAAATAAAGACACGAGGGCTTATGGCAGAAGATGTAAAACATTCGGAGAAAATCAATACATATTGCAATCCTCAAGTAATCGACCGAAATCTTTTCTTGTTGGAGTTTCCGAAACTATAGCTCATTTAAGAGTACACATCAAATTTCTCACGTAGTTTCTGTAGAGGGTATCACTTATACTATCGGGGAAAAATGAAATGCGAACAGAGGAGCGCGTGGCTCGTGGTACAGGCTGCGCCGCCTGGAAGTAAACCTAGGGGCGAGGTTGCGTGGCCTACTTCGATGTGTTCACGCCCCTCGATCGGCGCTCCCCCAGCTTCGGCAGTGCGCCTCTCAGTGCGCTGAAAGCTGTCACCGCTATCTTTGCCTGCTCGGCGAGTGCGGCGAGCTTCTTTGCACCGCACGCGCTGAGCCAGCAAAGATAGCCGTGATAGCTTTCAGCGCACTAGAGGCGGACTGCTGAAGCTGAGGGAGCGCCAATCGAGGGGCATGAACACATCGAAGTAGGCCACGCAACCTCGCCCCTAGGCTCACTTCCAGGCGGCGCAGCCTGTACCGCGAGCCACGCGCTCCTCTGTTCGCATTTCATTTTTCCCCGATAGTACGTTACGACTTCTTGCTTCGTGAGTGGTTCTTGGACGTTCTTATCTGCTATCTCGGCCATCTCATTGCTTGAGGAGCGATGACAAGGTGTTCGGGACCAAAGTAGCGAGCTGCGAATGTAACAAACATTGTGTGAGGCTACCCACTAAAAATATAGTACTAAAAAGAAAAAAATAATACTGCGCGACCGATCACGCAACGTGATGCGAATGAACAGCGCGTCAGCTGTACGATGACCACCCGTCCCGCGACTCGCGGGACTGTCCCGCATTGAGGCCTCGTGTCCCGCGTCCCGCCCCCGAGAAAGTCCCAAATCTACAAAATGTCCCGCATTTCACACTGTCGTAAAATTCACTCCGCAACTCACGGCGCTGCCGAAAAATGGGGCACGGGGAAGTGCGGAGGTCGCTAGTAATTGTGTGAATCGAAATGGTACGCCATGTTCTATGATCTATCGAAGCATTGCGGGAAGCGACCGTCGTTCTTGCAAGAGGACCGACGCGCATGCACCGTTGTGGGAAAATATTGTACGAAAAAGTTCTCGCCAAAAGTTTAAATATAAAATATTGTAATTAGTTTCCAATTGCCGTGCCAATACGAAATTTGGTGCGCTGTGGATTTCTTTTTTCTTTTTAGTGAGGGCAGCCACACGTGCAACGGTCGAAAAAGAACATAATGTTAAAAATTTGTGTAGCACCATACCATGCAAAAGGTTTGCTGTGAATTTCTTTTTTTAGTGAAGGCACATGCCACGGTCAAAAAAAGAAAATGTTAAAAATTTGCGTAGGACCATGTTGATAGAAGTAAGTGTGGACAGGAAACAATAACCAGAAAAATATTTACTGTTTCTTATTTCTATTTGATGCATTGACTTCTCGTACAGTCGATTTTTATGTTTTTCAACTTCGGCACATGTATTACCATCTTTGGCATTCAAAATAATCTATCACTGGTAGTGAACATTATTTGAGCTTAAAGGAGCTGTGCAACGATATTCAGTTGGAAAGTTTTTCACTATACACGAGCTTACTGGCACTAGTGGGACTCAAGGATACTCGCACGCAACGCCAGTGGCCAAGAAACTCCTTTGTTGCGGTGAAATTTCAAGGACAAAAGCGATCATTTTCATTCAATCTCTCCTTTGCAAAATTTGATGACGTAACGTGGGAATCGCAGTACACCCAAGTGACGATATTTGAATGCGGTTCATAGATTGGACCCGAGCATTGCATGGGCACTCGACTTGGGCTCGTGATAATTGCTAGCTCGAGAAGCATTCGGGTAGTGACCCGTGTCCAATCGCTGCAACAACGACCACAGCCGAGCCATAACAATGTCTGGAACTCAGCGCGTGTCCTGCACTTTGCCAAACCCAGCGCGTGGCTATGATCAACACTGGCGGCATATAATCGGCTCCAGATCACGTGGCCGCTTGTTCTGGCTGCGAGTTGAGGGGGTGAACGCTGCTCGTTTTTCTTAAATTTTTTTCTGGGACTTCTATTGCGTGGGGTGAAGAACGAACGCGTGTTTCATAGGTCATTAACGTTAGGGATCCGTTTTAAGCGGTATTTTCGCAAAGTACAAAAATTGTTGCATCGCTCCTTTAATTGTTGCTATACAATTGGCAGGTGTATAAACAGGTGCGGGATAATAAATGTGTTAACAGAGCCTTGGTTCGTTGTGTGCGTCTTATTAGATACCCCCCCCCCCCCTCTGCCCCGCGTTACAACTTTTCTTGGCAATGCAGTGGAAGGTACGTCCCGCGTCCCCTCTCCCATTTTGAGTGTACGCAGGCTCTCCTCCTCCCCCATTTCCGGGGAGAGGAGGAGAGCCCGCGCACACTGAAAACGGGAGAGGGGACGCGGGCCTGTACCTTCCACTGCATTGCCAAGAAAAGGTGTCGCGGAGTATAACACCGTCTGACAGTCTGACAATGCTCATATTCATATGGCTTGGCCAATCGTGGAAAGCTGACCGCAGCGAAGCTTTTGGTCGCACACATCGCTAATATTAAAACTCTCCACTCTCGCAGCAGCGTGACCATTCTTCACTCGATATATATACGTTCTCTTCTATACGTTCCGTTTCACGTTCACGTGCAGCATGATCTTGACGTAGAATGCGTCTCATCCTAACAGCCAGGGCGAGGCCAGTCGGTGGACGAATAATGCTCGAATTCAAAAGCGCTGCATCATTTCTTTAGCTTCCACGCTGCAAAGAGCCTATATGTCGTAGCATTCTTTGCGATGTTAAATTGTTGAGTCATTCAGTGATCTTAGATTCGAACCACTGTCCACCCGTCCCCTCATCAGTGATCCGAGACCCGGGCACCGATAAGTGCATCGAAGCGGAAAACCGCACAATTTCTAAGTGGCTCGTGATTGGATCTGTCGGTCCATAGATTTTGGCTTTAGTCTATCGTATAGGGTGACACGAAGTATCTCTTTTTTGTGTAAACACACCAGTGTTTGACTCATACAATTACCACCCTCCTTTTCTATCTCGTAGGCTTCCAGCGATTGCATCGCAGTTTTGTCTGTCCGTTTGCCCAAAAATCACCATCCTGTAAAATTTCGGCTTACACATGCATGTGACACACAGTATAAAGGAAGGTGCCCCCAGTTGTCGACGGCAGCGAAAGTACATGTTCGCAAGCTCGATCATTGGCGCATCGGCCACTCTGGCCGATGTAAACTCGGTCACAGTCCAGCAAAATACGATAGACCACCACGCACTCAACGTACTTATTCTTGTGATTTGCAGCAGATTTGTTGCCTCTCCCGTCCCTGACACTGGCATAGTTGCGACATCTTAACGGGCGCCGAAGAAACAACAGGTAGATACATCGTAGCGCCCAGCTATCTTTTCTATATTATGAGAGATCTTCTGTATATGAGGGATTATCTCTGGCCTGTTATTTGGTCGTTACCTACGTGGTTGGGGTCCCGCCTTTATCTTCCTTAGTAGCTCTCCGGCCTCCGCCAACGAAACTGAAGCTTTCCTGTAGAGTATGTGGTGGCGAGAAAGAGCAGGTGGCGAAGAGCGCAATAACGTGATTCCCAGAGCAATCGCGATTGGCCGAACACATGCTTCGCTTCAACTGCCTGAACTCGATAAACGTGCGCGTGCTCCAATGCGGAAACACGATACTCGCCCAGTACAACACGCCCAGTACAGCGGACGCTGTAAACAGACGCTGGAAGGCCTCAGAGTGGCTGCGGATGTTTTTGCTAAAAACTTTCGCTGAATATGCTGCGTCTCGTGTCGTGGAACGTCGGGAGCCCTTCAAAGCTCACAGAATGTTTCATTGCCAATTAGAGGCGGTGACTGTTTCAGTGTACACTGTAAGACACCCGGAGTGTCTGCTTCTTGGCAAAGCACTCGGGGAAAGCCAATCGCTGGACTCTACGCAGGTAATCAGCGAACGACCAGGCTGAGAAGAGCCTCCTCAAATTGCCTAATATATAAAAAAATAGATCTTAAAACAGGCATTAAAACGGGATCTTAGAAGCTTGTGAACATACAGCAGCCCGAAAAAATTTCTGAACATTAGCCAACTGTTTCTTCGACTTATATGTTCATTTCTGCCCCAGTCTCAGGTTTATTCAACATGGTTAACATTCACCAGCTCGTGTCGCCTGTAGCCTTACTATAATATCTCTGAACAGTCTTCGTTTAGATGGTTTAGCCAGTAACAAGGGTAAGCGGTATCGTGACCGTTATGGTCATGCATTAATCTTGGTGGCAAAAAAAGACGTCCACGCCTTTGTTTTCTTTATCTAGGCCGCATTATTGCAACCCCGGTTATTTGTATGTGTCCTGTACTTTGATTAAAAAAGACAGTCGTGCTTACCTGCAGGTTCATCTACAGCGTCCGAAATGGCGCCAATGAAACGAACTTCCTTGAGCGTGACCTTGGCAATGGAGGTACGTACTCGAATAAAAACATTGTCGGAAACTTAGCTACTTCACAACTGATGAGCTGTTTTCATTCACTCACTCGTAACTATAGTGTCAAGGGCTATTCGAAAATGCCGTCCATTAAAGGTACGAGGCGATACCTAGTTTAGAAAGGCCCGATTTCTTCTTTGGTAGCATTACGTTAAGAAAGAGGCATGCTGCCTGTCTTCTTCGTATTCATAGAGAATTTATCTTCTTCTTTACCGCCTTGTATAAATATAATGTTGTTCATTATTTGTCGTTTTATTTGTTTCTGTTTTGCCGAATTTGGGTATTTTTTATATTGCTATTGATGGCCACATTATATTTGTTGTTGTTTTTATTGCTATATTGATATGTATTAACTGCTGGGTTTCTGGCCCTACGCACACGCATGATGTTGCCTTTGTAGGCCCGCATTATTTCTTAAAATTACTATTGTTTATTATTATTATGATTATGATTACAGGATGCCACATCGAGAAAAAAACAACAACACATACTCTCAACAAGATTTGACTATCAAAAAACGATGCTTTCTAGCGCTGAAACCTCTACATCTTCATTGAGTAACAAATTAATGACCTTAAAAGTGCATTAAAGACATTTATAAGATTGCCTGTTCTTGGTGATAACTCATTCTACAGGATCTTAGCATGCCAGAAATAAAAAAAAAAGTATGCTCGTTTGACGTCTATTTCCCTACTAAAAATTCGATCGAAGCTCGTGCCACGCCCCTTTCGTTAGCAGACAATATTTTCGACTCAAAAGCGGCGCGAGCTTTTTCGATGTCACATGCCAATGCATGGTTTTATCATCCTCACTAATTACACACATTGAAGGGACACACAATGGATTAAAACAATGGTTTGTCGGGTTATTCTGACCGTTTTCTTCGGGGTACTTATGTCGTCTGCTTTGCATTTCCTTGTTCTTAATGCCCCTGTTTTTGTTCCTGCGACTGTCTCCGCCCGCGGAACGCGCGCTGCTTTTGAGTCAAAAGATCGTCCGCTAATGACGCCGGCTCTCAGCGCCGTATGTTCGTTCGTTGGTGGCTGTTGGCGTCGCGACCGCTTGCGCCATCTCTTGTCTCCCGTGCCGAACGGCGCCCCATTGTTTGAAGACCGGTGGCTTCCCTGCGTTTCCATAGGAGTTAAGCCTTTTTCTTTTTGTACTTTTTCTTCAGGTAAGTTCGCTCTTTGCAAATTTATAGAAAAAATGCACAACCTGTGGGCAACGCTGCACAAGCTCGTAGCGCGATAGGTAGAGAAACCGATTCTTGCGGTCGATTTCAAGAGCCTGGCCGATATTTGAGACACCTTGTATTTAGTAGGGAAATAGACGTCGCACACGCATCATTTTTGCATTTCTAGGATGCCTGGAGCCCGTAAGATAAGTTATCACTAAGAATAGACGATCTCAGAAACGTCTTTAGTACACCTTTAAATCTATATATATACGTATTTCGATTCGCAACATAAAATGGTAAAGTTGCCAGACTCTTTTTGCCACGGCACTGGGGGTAAAAATAAGTCAATTGCACCGGCAGGATAAAAAACAAAACAAAAAACAACGGGTTTGGCGAGTGTGTTTCATTATTGTTGCGCAACCAATACGCCTCGCAAGTGGGCTCATTTTCGTCTTCTGCGCATAAGAAAGGAAGCAGCGGTGACGTCAGAACGCCGAACTCTGATTGGCTGATCGCGACCCCCTATCTCAGCGTCGTCTGCTCCTTTGCAACGTCGTCTGCTCGCAACGTCGTCTGCGTCTGTCTTACCTTTCCTGCGACTTTCGGAGCGAACTCGACCTCGCCTCTAAGAGAGGGCAGACGAAATAACTCGAGCGGTACGTTGTTTTTGTCTAACAACTAGCAGACGCGCATCAAGGAGGGAAGTCAAAGGACTCCCTGGCGAGGTGCCCCGGGGCGCCGAAGTTTTTTTGCTTAGAACCGAGGCAAGTTCCCTCCCAAATACTTTTTCCCTCCATTCGTGTGCGGCGAGACCCCTCACTCTTTAACGGCGTCGGCGGGTTGGCGCAGTTAACGTCGTCTGCTTTACGTCTGCTAGTCAAAGCGGTCAAAGCGATGGCTGCTTTACCTTTGCTGCGTCTGTCGGAGATTCACCGCTTTTTCATCGGCGAGAGTCACCGTTGCCTCGGGAAACAAGGAGATAACAAGAGGAAGAAATTGACCCCTTAATCTAAAATTGAGGTCAGCAATCAAAATATTATACGGGAAGGGTTCACAAGGGTCGCGCGGGCATATTCCACTCAGCACGCCAGCCGGTCGTGGGCAGACGGTCGCCGAGTCGCGGAGAGCCTGCTAGGCCTAACTGCCCAGCTCGTTTGGTCGCGTTCGGTGGGATCGTGGCCGTGGGAGCTTTTCCCGGGTGTTTGTGGATCCAGCGTTCTTGTTCGTCGTGGTCTGTTTCAAGTACTTTTTACTTTTTTCTTGCTGCTTGAAGTCGGGACGCGTCAGAACCGCACGTAAAAAAATAAACGTCCGTGGGTCGTCGCGACCGCGACGTTGTCGGCCATGCTGATTTGATCGTAAGAAGTGCGTAAGACAGCTTCGGAGCTGTTGTAGGATTTCGTCGTGACCTGCGCAAAACTTACGATAATTTCGTTTCTTGAATACGAATTTGTTCTTCAGTTTTGTCTTAAGCACATTTTTGGCGTAAGATCGTTTCGTGAATCTGCCTCTGCACTTCCGAAAGTCGCAGGAAAGGTAAGACTGACGCAGACGACGTTGCGAGCAGACGACGTTGCAAAGGAGCAGACGACGCTCAGATAGGGGGGCGCGATCAGCCAATCAGGGCTCGGCGTTCTGACGTCACCGCTACCCCCTGCGCGAGAAGCAGACGAACTTGCCCTCCGCATATGATTGCGGCTCCGATATAAGAACGGCCAAGGAAGAATCACGAAGCCAGGAGCGTTATAATGCACGCCATGCGTGTCTTAATTAAGCTTACAGTCACCAGAGATGCTTTTAAGTTACGACCTCTTTTTTTTTTTCTCGCCCATCGAAGGTACCAAATGACGTCCCATTCCTATTTGAACGCAGCCAAGTCCGTATCGCTGGTCCTCGACACCGACAACTGCCACTACTTGGTCCTGCTGGAGTGCTTTCCAGATGGGCCTGGTGAGTGGAGCAGAGAAGCTAGAGAAATAAAAAAAATAAACGCGGGGGTGTCTTATCATTGTTCAGCAGCCAATGCGATTCTAGCACTAGACGATAAGAAAGCCCAAGAGCGAATCACGAGGCAAGAAGCGTGCATGCTGAGGACATCTGTGCCGCTGCGCATAAGAGTCTCGTGCAGAGCCCGCTATGGTATCGATGACCGCAGCCTCACCCCACCGGAGACCACCAGTGTCTGTTAGAGGCTACGTTGGCAATGTCTGAAAGGGATGCTGAATCGAAATTCGGATTTCACAAAATAAACAAAATAAACCACGAAACATCACTCATAAAGCTATATATCTCGAGCGGATGGCCATATTTCTGGAAAATAGAAGAGCGAATGAAGACGAATGTTGACGTCATCTTATCGCAGAATAATTGAGAAGGAGGAGAAATGGCCTCGCTCCCTTTCCTCTCCGCGCCCTCGCGGAGTCAAAGCGAAGGGAGGAGGAAATGAGAATCACGAAGTCACGCGTCTTTTCGGCCTTGTGCGAGCGCGCTCTTCTTTTACAAAAATACGACGATTTGTGGGAGATACCGCTTTATGAGTGACGTTTTGGGATTTGTAGCGTCCCGGCTATCGATTCTGTATTGCTTTCTGAAATTCGATTTTCGGTTCAGCATCCCTTTAAGAGTTCTGGGTAAACTCCTCCTACCTCTTTCCACCTTAGCAGAGCGAACGCTGGAGAGGAAGCGACCTGCTCTCCAGCGTTCACTTTGCTAAAGTGGAAAAAGGCGGGAGGTCCTGTCCACGACCATTGGCGGCGTCCGCAAACTACAGGGGGCGCTTCTCTAGCTATCATCATCATCGTGTGTGACGTCGCGGGGGTAGGACAGACCGCGCAAATCTTGGATCGCTCGCTCGTCAGCTCGCTTCATGCGCTGTTTGGGTAACTGGCGGCAAAGCCTGTTTCACCTGTGTCTATTTGGTGAAGTGATATCTGTAGTAGGATATTTGATCAAAGTTTGAAACCGCACGTGGCACGCGTAGACGTGTCAACAACCACTTTTGGCGCTGAGGTGTCGGAACCTCTCGGATGGTGATGTGCTGTTCTCCACCCCGTACATAAAGGCTGAAGAATGAAAATTGGATATCCAGCGCTTTCCCCCACTACAACATCTACCACGGCGAATAGGGTGTATTTTTGTTTAGTATGATTTGGATAAAATAAAACTTAGAAAGGAATGTCTCATCAAATTCAAGATAGGAAAGCGAAATGCGAGAACTTCTCGGGTGTACTTCGGTGAAAGCGACTCCGTGTATCGTGTTGGTTCCTATATGTATTCTGTGAGTATTGGTCTCATATTATGCTCCGTTTCCGACCTTACGTCCGAGCGCAGCGGATGCAACGAGCCATGGGAGCCAATCCAAGGCTGTGTACGTTTCACGTGACCTTGGAGAGGGGCACAGCGACGCGCGGAAGGCGTATGACGGGCTACGTTTAACGAGCGGGATTGGCTCGGGTAGTGGGGGGTACTGCTCAGCGCTCGAGCAAGCAGCGTTTATGGGCAGTTCTGTAACGTAGGCAATCTAGTAACGTCAGTTAGAGGGCTTTTGTGCGTATAAAATAAATGGGTGTGTCATTCTCCGCGAAGAAGTTAGCGATGGTTCCTCCACATAAGCTACAAGATACGCAAGGATTCGTTATGGTCCAAATAGATGCCGCAGCTCGCTGCGACTGCCCCCTGGATTCACATAGGACAGTTCCGTTTAAAGCATAAAATGAACTTCAGTAGAACCACCAATCCCAAACTATCGTTCGTCTGTTCGTCCTTGCTTTTTCCTCTAAATTTAGCGGAAAAATTGGCGCCACGTGACCTAAAGAGCACTTCAATTTTCCCCGCTAAATTCAACGGGAAAATTAATGTCACGTGACCTGATGCCAAGTGACACACACCAATACAGTTTTCCCGCAAAATTTACGCGGAAAATCACACCGCAGACACGACCGTTTAATGTCCAAAAGAAATTTAAAGGGATACTGAACCGAAATTTCGAACTCACAAAACAAGGCTGGACAGATAGGCGGGACGATGCAAAACCCAAAAACATCACTCATACAGCGATATCTCTAACGGATCACCATATTTTTAGAAAAGAAGCGCCCGACTGAACCCGGCCGACGAGGCCGACAAGGCAAGGGACGTCACGATTCTTATTCCCTCCCCTCCTCACTACGTCCCGTGTCGAGCTGGCGAACCGAAGCGAGGAGGAGAGAAGCGAGGCCGCTCCCCCTCATTCTCAAATTCTCCCGGAGGACAGTGATGTCAGAAGCCTCGCTTGATCGCGCCCTTCTTTTCGAAAAGTGCAGCCATCCGTTTGAGATATCGATGTACGAGCAATGTTTCGGAGTTCGTAGAGTCCCGTTCAACGCTTCTAGAGCCTTATTTTGCGAAATTCAAATTTCGGTTCAGTATCCCTTTAAACGACCTCTTCTTAGACACTGCATTTCACGCATTCTAGGACTTTTAAGGTATCAAGGTCGCTGCCAGTTTTTATTTTAAAGTGTGGGAATACCCTCGTCTCTTTCCAGTCAGCCGCTACGTGACCTACAAGAGCACCTGGACGAGCGCTGGAAAAGACCAACTCGCAGCCAAAGCTGCCACAAACTCGGCCCTAGATTTCGTCCAGGACTACACGTTCGACTGCGCGAACGGAAATGTCTAGTCTCCAATCTGCGAGTCAGCGCCGAAAGCAGTGCCGAACACGTAGGCGAGTAATTATAATGCAATTAAATGCAAAGGTGCAAGCGAGCTGCACAATAATGATGAAAATAATCCCTGGAGAAGGGGAACAAGAGGGACAGTATCGCTTCAAGATCTCGTACTGGCGACACCGCCGCTCGAGGTGTTACGGACATGAGCGAGCATCACCAGGGGGTTGTGCCATCACTTCAAAGCCAACCGACAGCCGCGATGAAGATGGTCGCCTGTAAATTTGCCCAGTTCTTTTGGTAACTCGGTTAGTATGTGCAATCCACTTACAACGATACCACATATAACAATTTGCCGCTTTTAACGATCAGTTTGTAAGAGTTTCTAGGCTAGAAACTATCAATTTCCAGTCCATATACCACGATAATCGGTTATAACGATTGAATTCTCATTAGCGTTAAAAGTGGATTGCTATAGGTGAAGGCCATCAGAGAGGGAAAATCCTCGACACTCGAAAAATAGTTTCTGACCAAATTTTACCAGGTATATGTTTTTATTTCTTTTAATTTTACAATACTGCAGACCCCGGGGTTCATTCTTTTGGACCTGCTCGCATTTTAAATAAATAAATGAATACCACGCATTTTCTTCCAACCCGAATGCCTGCTATTAATTGGTGTGCCATGTGCGAGTCCTGCACGTTGTTCTATAATTCTATTTCCTTCCACAATACCTTACTGTACCTTCCTAATTTTGCCTGATACAAAAAAAAAAAAAAATACTTCTTCTGGCCTCGAGTGAGCTAGCTTACAGTGTTATAATTGTGTTTACTGTTCAATTTGTTTTTGTTCTATTGCCACCCCCTTGTATAATGCCCCACGGGCCCTCAAGGAAAATAAATGATGATGATGATGATGATGCCTTTTAGCGGAATGTTGGCTCAATTTGAGGAGCCTTCTATGGGATCCTTTTTTTTATTAGCACCCTTCCAGTGTTCCGCACTCTCCTCGCTCTGTTCTGATGCCTTGTTGTTGCAACTCCGCCGCACTTTGTTTCGTTCCCCGTTCAACTTGTATTGCAGTATGCCAGTATGATATTCAAGTGTCTTTCGGTGGTGCCTCCCATTACCGTCCACCACTTCCGCAGAGCCGCGTCCTGTCTGCGATCTTCTAACTCAAGCTGTATGCTGCGTCACCGAGTGCTTCAACTGTACACAGAGGAGCCGCTACAACACGCAGAGCATTTTGTTCTTGCTTTTCACCGGTACCGAGCTACGGAGTAAATACTGGTTCACGCACTTGTCACTGCTTACGACCGTGCACCGAATCTCGTAGGACGAAAGTAAACATACTGGCGCCATCTATCGGGTAACCGTGAAATTTGGGACAATTACAGTTTCCGTTTGGTACCTATTCTTTTTTTTTTTCTGGCATCACTTTTTTTTTTTTTGTTTGAAAAAGGTTTGTCAATTTGATAAACGATATTCCCTCATAAATAGTACGTTAATTTCATCTCCCATCTATCGCAAAACCTTCGTTCTAGTGAAATGCAGTTCCAGGGCCACCTCATAGATGGCGCCAGCGTTACAGCCTTTTCTCTCGTCGTAAGAGATCACAAGAACTTGGTCGTAAGCAAACGCAAACGTGTAAACGGGCTTTGAGATATTATGCTATAACCTAAAACTTAATAAAACACCTTTGATAAACTTTTCTACTCGGGAAGTCAGGTACCAATTTATTTCACTAGTTTTCAAAAATATTAGAAAGTTTTTTTACCCAGTTGCGTAGAGAGATGCGTGGCAACTTCACGCAAATAGGAGTTGCGTTTTCTATATGTATTAAATAATCACGTATTATGTTGCCTAGCTACTTCAGTAAGCGTAGCAAAAAAGGTCACGTGGTTAGGGACTGTGGAAGGCATCTGTTCAAAATCATGTCATAATTACAACAAAAAAAAGAAACTTTTCGTCAGTATTGTTGGCGTTATCGAAAGAAAGTAACAAAATACGTTACTCGGTACTCGCAAATAAAAGGAACGCGTTACCGATCTACGTTACCTCATAATAAAAGGAACGCGGTACCGTTACGTATAAAAAGTAACGCTCGGTACTTTTGCGTTATTTTTATATTATGAATTAAAACTTTTTATACTTTTAACGTTACAGGCATGCATAATCGCCATATTTAAAAAAAAACAACATTATGTTCATGCAAATGAATGTTCATGTTTACTTCATTTTTTTTAAATTTACCTAAATACTTACAAGTAAAAACAACAAAAAATGCAAAAACTAAAAAAAAAATCACATGACTGAACTACTAGAAACGCAAAAAAAAAGAATTTAGTGTAATCTTTTTTAAGTTTTGGAAAGAATATGTAACGAGTAATGTAACTTCGTTACCTGTTACTCAAAATAAGTTACGCAAGTACGTTACCTGTTACTGTTTCTAAAAGTATAACGAGTATGTTACGCATTACCGGTAACACAGTCACTAGTAATACGTCACCTCCAATACTGCTGTTCGTGTGTGTGTTTAAAGGCTCGCGGTACATTCATTCTCTCGAACAGTCAGTGCTGCCTTATTCATCGTGCCGACGAGTTGGGAAACGTTTGAACGCACGGATAGTTCTCGACAGCTGGAAATGTTTATCGTTACTGAACTCGTACCAAATAAACAATAAATTCACACGCACACGCACACGCACACACGCGCAAGCAAGCAAGCAAACAAGCCAGCAAACAAGCAAGCAAGCAAACAAGCAAGCAAACAAGCAAGCAAACAAGCAAGCAAACAAGCAAGCAAGCAAGCAAACAAACAAACAAACAAACAAGCAAGCAAGCAAGCAAACAAGCAAGCAAGCAAGCAAGCAAGCAAGCAAGCAAGCAAGCAAGCAAGCAAGCAAGCAAGCAAGCAAGCAAACAAGCAAGCAAGCAAACAAGCAAGCAAGCAAACAAGCAAGCAAACAGGCAAGCAAACAAGCAAGCAAGCAAGCAAGCAAGCAAGCAAGCAAGCAAGCAAGCAAGCAAGGAAGCAAACAAGCAAGCAAACAAAAGAAGAATTCAGCTGGAATGACGTCCCCCATACAGAACACACGTGTTTCCGTTCATTTTACATCCTGTCACCTACACCTATAAGGCCTCTAAATGAATGCTTTTGGGAGAAAACAAAAATAAAAGAAAATCGAAAGATAATGTTTCTTTTTCTATTTTTTGTTTAAAACGAAAGTAAGCCTTAACATCGAGCGAGTTGTCGACATGTGTTTAGAAGTTAAATCGTACGGATGTAACATACGTGGGTCGGGTGGATGCATCACACCAAAACAAAAACGTAAATAAGTGCACCACAAAAAAAAAAGAAAAACAAAGCTATACAATTTGTAAAAAAACAGTCTCCAGACACTGTTAAAGGCTTGTTTCTTCCTTGTGCGATGGCCACATTGGTCATACAAAAACTGTTTGCATACATGTTCGAAGCATACAGATTCATGAATCTGTACGGCCATATATGTACAGCCGTACATGTGAAGTACGGCCATACATATGTGCGGCTGCTCGTCAGCCAAAGATATTGACCAACTTTTGCAATATTAAGCATATGTAGTTACAAATTATAATTACCTGGAATAAATAAAGAAGAACTAATATAAGTTTAGCAATTTCAATGAAGCAGACGTAGCTTGCTCGAATCGTTTACAGCTACGTCTTACAGTCAAAATAACGATGAAGAAACGAATAAATCTTCTAACCTCCAAGAAACGAGAGTTATACCAGGAAAAGAGAAAACCATCGTCTTTTTCCTAATCGGTATTTAAGTGACGGCACAAGAGCCGCGCACGATCAGAGAGATCATCAGCCGTCAACGAAGGACATTATCGAGTATTGGTTTTCAAAACACTTAACACGTGATCCGCGTGGCCCGAGATGACGTCACCGCGCATGCGCAGTTTCACTCGAGGTAGTCCCCCACGACGTAGCTGTGACGGCGTCCTTCACACTCTATACCTTAATCGACCGTGATAAAGTTGTTTTCTTCCGGGCGGCAGAGTGATCTCACACGATGAAGGTGAGCGTACGGTCGATCGACTTGGTGTTTGTGACCCTCTTGTGGACATCGGCTGGAGCCCTCGTGAGCCAGGAGTGCGAGCAGAGTCCAATCACAGAATTCAACCTCAACAAGGTATGCGTTTTCATCTTACAGTCCTCCGTTTTCGGTTGTAGAATTGAGCTGTGATTGTTTTTTTTAGACAGTTTGAAGCTGTAGTCATGCCGCTGTAGATGGGAAATTTAGCTAGTGAGGTACCGCTATACTCCGTTTCACCTTATGTCGTACCGCAGCGAAGGCTAGAAGCGCGAGCTCATAGCGTGGGCAGCTGCCCTTGGTGCACGAGAGCATATGTGCCGCCGAGATGTGCCCTAGAGCAAGGAACTTGCGCTTGTAGCTTTTCCTGCGGTACAACACAAGGTGAAACAGAGTATAGTGGCCTGGGGTTTGGTACCTTAACCGTTTTTGATGGGCCTAGCTCGTCAACAAGGAGCCGTGCTCAAGCCGTTCAGGACGAGTAGAGCTCGTCTGATTTCCCCGGCTCATGCACTCATCCGTTTTAGACAAACCAGGCTGGCTCATGACCTAGCTTAAAGGGCAACTCCGGCCAAAACTCAAAATGAATTAAATTACTGGTATCGCTTTAGTGACACAAAATACGACCCCAGCCAAAATTTCACGTCCATGGGACGCCGCATTCTTAACTAATGCCGATAATAAAAACGCGACCCGCCGCGAGCCGCTGCTCCTTAGCGGGCGGCCAGCGGGTTGCCGATCGCTAAAGCAACATTGGGCCGTGATGTCAACATCGTTCTCTTTTTTTCCTCCGTTCCGGACGGGCGAACGGAGCAGCCGTCGCGCGCGCTTCTTTGTGCCGGTACCACCGCTACTTCGGCTTGTAATTGCGTGTTTAGCCGTTGCTTTTACCTGTAGCCCATGTAGCTTCGGTATAGCCTTGTTTATTTGCTTGTGAGGACTCCTAGACTCGTTTTAGCGAGCAACTCGGTGCGCCCAAGACTGCCCAGCTGTTCCTCGAAAGATGCCGAGTACAACTTAAAGCGCTGTGGGCTGCTGAGACAAGCCGCTGCGCAACCCGGAGGTGCTTTTTCACAAGTTTCCAACGGATCAGAAATTGAAGAAGGTGTGGGTGAACGCTGTTCGACGAGTGGACTTTGGAAAGCCTTGGACGTCGACCCCCAGATCGAAGCTCTGCTCCGATCATTTTTCGCCGGAGAGTTACGAACGAAACCTACGGGTGTTGGCTGCTTGTGGCTTGTCAGCGAAGGGGTCGAGGCTTAAAAAGGATGCCGTGCCGTCGCTCTTTGCCCATCGTACATGTACAGAAAAGGTAAACATGATAAAAGTATCCTGATCAATAAATATAACAGTCATTGTCAAGTGCAGTGTTGAAGATTGAGCATTCACGCTCCATTGAATGTCTGTTGAATGGGGAATGGTGGGCATGTAGAGTACAACCACTAACTAGCTCCAAACACTGAAGTTTGTAATGAAAACGAAAACAATGTTCTGCTTTGCGTCACTGCTTGTTTACTACGCAATCTCGTGCGTAGTATTCAGGTCCGTAACGACTACTAGCGAACAGCCGGCGCGTGAAGCTCATGCGATATAAACATTCGCCTCCCAATCGTTCGAACCCGTTACGCAGCAGTATTAATTAACATTGCGCTTGTGAATACCACAAGGGACTTCAAAGAAATCGCGAAAGTTCGGATTCGTAAGTTACAACTCTCTAATTTGCCCGAGTTCGGCTGGAGGTAAATATAATATTTAAAAATGCAAAAAAAAAAACAAAAAAACTTGCTTTAGTTAAACGTTACGAAGGAAAACTTAAAATCCTATGTATTCTAATAAAAAAAATTGTTGTGGGTGGGGGTGGGAATGTGGTAGGGAAAGAAAGTGTTCTCACCTTGCTAACGTTTTCTGTTTTCCTTTATCACCCACAAAAACTTTTGCTAGCCTCGAGAAGAAAATGACTGCCCAAAGAACTTTTTTTTTTTTTTTTAGTGCGGCAAGTTTCCTTTTTATTTGTACAAAGATTCACTACCTGGACGAACTTATGTGGTGAATTAGTGTCGTAGCTTACAAATTCGGCTTTTACGCGCCTGAGGAAAAAATAACGAAAAAACAGATGTCTACAGCTTGACACACGTCTGTTCGTTTTGAGGCTTTGAGCTTTGATTTTTTGCTTTGAGGCTTCGAGCTTCGAAGCTTTGAGGCTCTCCGTCTGCGCCGGAGAGCCTCAAAGCTTCGTGTCTGGGACTGACCCGCCGCGCGAAAGCGCCAGCACTGTACGTCACTGGCAGCGCGGCGTAGAGCAACGCCGCTCCATCCACGGAGCCCCCATGACAATTTAGGCTTAGCGACGAGTGCGGGAGACCGCACGCACGCCGACAGCTACCGAGTACGGCACCGAACGAGTTCACTCGTTTTCCAGTCGCTAGCATTTGGGTATACAAGCAACGAGTACGGCACGGCATAGCGCATGCGCGGCGGCGGCCGCCGAGTACGCCACCGAACGAGTTGACGGGTTTTCCAGTCGCTAGCTTTTGGGTATACGCACTAACTCTTGCTACATATGCTGGATAACTACCACGTATACAGAATTAAAACAAAATCAGCTTACCTTCTATCTTTAGACGGCTAGCGCAACAGAGGTAAGTGCCGCTTGGACTGCGTACTCGCTGAACGAGAACGATCTTGGCGTCACGTCCACATAACGGCTGATTTCCAGTGTTGCCGGAACATCGAGCGGCTAGTTTCGGTTTTGTCGGCCGCGCCCCAAACAAAACTTTGAGACGTCGATATCTTTAAAACTACGCACAATAACAAGAAACAAATTACACCTTGCAATTCAGGGGCGCTAACTGCACTAAAAAAAGCCATAATCCCAAAATCGAAAGTATAAACCGGAGTTGCTCTTTAAGCTAAGCCATGAGCCAGCCTGTTGGCAGAGCTTCAATTGAAGCTCTGCCAACAGACGGCAGCACAGATATATTTTTTTTTGCCATTTTGTTTTTAGTTTGTGTACGGATTGAAACTTGATTTTGAAGGCAACAAATGTAATTTTGAAGACAAATATTAAGTAGTTGGGGGTTTACTTCTTTTAATGTTACCTCCCCGACCGCACGCCGGTACGATATGTTCATTCAGATCGGAACGGGCAGGGGTGGGAACTGAACTCATGATTCTTTCGGTTGAGGTTAGACTATAATAGACGATTTGTAATTTGTGGAATTCTGGGAGAGATTGTCCCTCGCCTTGCGTCTCTGCCTTGAGATCGCATTGCCTTGTCACTGCTTGTCTTTTTGAGATGAACAGAAGGTCAGGGCGTAAACAAGCTGGTGACAGATGAACATTATTGACTAAAATCCCGAAAGTGAGACCGGAGCAGGGACGGACAAACAGAGTTTCAATCTTGAGACTTTGTGTTTGTCCGTCCCTTCTCGTCCCAGTGCCGGGGCTTTAGTCGATAAGGTTTTTTTTTTTTTTTATATCATGGTGTATATGTTTTGTCCATTAGTAATCTTCTTGTCCGTCGTTTTTAGAGCTTTTATCCTGGACAACATTCTTGAAGTCGTGCTGCGCACGGTGTCATCCTCTTCCAGATGATCGACTGCGGGCACAACGGCCAGTCCTGGTCCATCTGGAAGGTTCCGGGAGAGGAGCCCTACTGTCTCGGAGACGTCATTGACAAGGCCGACGATGGCAAATACCTCTGCTACGCCCTCGGTAAACGGAACGGGACGTGTCTGCGGATATCGTGAGTCGTTTCCAGAATCCCTGGTGTAATAACTTTTAGGCTTCCAACTAATGCGGATTAATTGAGAAAAAACGCTCGCTCGTTGTATCGATAAAGTCGAGCGTGCACAACAAAAAATAAAATGAGCCCTGTGTAAATGGTTGCACCATAAACAAAAAAAAAAAAAAAACTACAAACAGCGTCAAAAGCGCACAATCGTGGTGTTCGGCATGTTTCTGCACCTGTTCAATCATCGCTGAACCAGTCATAAAAAAAAAACAAAAAAACTAATGACTGGCATTTGTGGCGCTGTTTCATTGGTCACATTACCTCTTAGCATCGGCTGCGTCTGGACTTAAGTCGACTGCTTCTTGCGCAGGAGTTGTGGTGACGTCAGAACGACACCGAGTTCTGATTGGCTTTGATTGAAATGAGAGTAGGTAGACCTCAATGCTAGATGCCTTAAGGTCTACCCAGTATTTTTTCAATGAAATCCAATCAGAGCACGGCGTCGTACTGACGTCACCGCATCCCCCGCGCAAGAAGCAGACGACTTGCTCTCCAAATAGGAGCGTCGCACAGCTGGCGCGGAGCCAGAGAGCAGGAGGGCACTGCGACTTGGTGGAATGCCCTTGGGGGTGCGGGCGGAGGCCTCCCTCTGCTCTGCTCGCGCATTTCCATCGGATGAATCCCCATTGATCGCCACATTGTTCATCTAAACATATTATCAGCCTCGACATTCGCCGGGTGGCCTCCGTAGATTGTAGTTGACGCGGAAAAGTAGGACGCTCTAGATTTCTGCAGACCCAGTCGCGCTGCTCGTAGATTACACTAAAGACGGTGTTTGCTGAAGAAATGACAAGATTATTGACGAACACATGCTCCAAGCATGTTTGCTTCATACGTGCTTCGAACCTGTCTGCAGACAGATTTGACAAGACCAACAGGACCGCCACGAAAGAAGGAAACACGCCGGAGGCTTTGCCTGCAAACCGTCTTTTGCATGACGTACGACAGTACTATCAGTGTGACTGCAGCTGTAGTCTTAAGACCTTCGACTTAAATTTGTCATCTACGACGCAACGCTGAGGATGATGTAAGCATGAGCATGATGTAAGCATGAGCGTGATGTAAGTGTCACTTAACCAACTTTTTTCAAAAGACCCTTTTCAAAAGTCCGTCGAGCAACATGGGCGGTCGCCATGGCTCGGACACAAAGCGCGTGATTGGATCCGAGTACTCAACGAACGCTGACGTCACGCTCGTGTCCAATATGAGCTCAGCCGAGTTCACGCCCAACGATGACGCAGGCCTCGTGTCGTCCAATACAGGCACGCTCAGAGTACGTGTGATCGAGCAATGGCCGGCGGAGAGGCCTTGGGGCGCGGACGTTTTAAAGAAGGTCCATTTTCTTTGAATAGTATACGCGTATCTCTTGTTCTCCCGCTCACCCGTCGCTGGGCCATCGATTAGTCATTTACGAAGTGCATAATAAGGAAAAAAACCACGTGACCTTCTACTCAACGTCAAGCTTTCCGGTTGCGAGGACTATTTGGGAGGGGGAGCGACCGTGACGCCCCAAGCGGTTAACTTTAGAACTACACGGATGGGGACAACAAATATAATCACTTACCGCTCGGCCGACATAACCGAACGCGGCGTCAGCGTTGGGCTGGAGTTCGTGTTCTCCGGTGAGGGAGAGGAGGGGTTCTTTTGTTTCCAATACGGCCTGCATGAACAATGCAGCCATGCACGGTCCCAGCTCTGCACGAAAACCGAAGCTCGCATTCTCTGAGGATAGATCCGGCACTTAACGTCGCTTCGTCGATTGTTAGTATTCTTAAATTTAACTGTTCCCCGCGCTCTATTGTAAAAGATGACATGGACATGCCCATAAGGCCTGTTGACATGTGCGCAGGCCCTGTGTTGAGTAAACACCGAGGGTGGGGACAACAAAGGGGTCAGAGCGCCCCCTATAGTTCGATCTCCTGCCCATAGTTTTCAGTGATGCGTAAGCACATAACTTCACCTGCCGACTCCTTTGCACGCGCTCGTGTATGTATAGATTTACCTCCGCTGCGAGGACTACCCTATACTCTGTTCCAACTCGAGAAGGTAAGGCGAAGGTAAGACGGGCCGGGTAGGAGGAAGCAGACGGAACGCTAAAGAGAGAAGGAAGTTTCCCTCTTTCTTCTACAGCGTTCCGTCTGCTTCCTCCTCCCCGGGCCGTCTTACCCTCGCCCTGCCTTCTTGAGTTGCAACGTGAAATCGCAGTCACACCCTTCATACATAAAACATACAAAAGACGCGGCGTTGGTTGCAGACGCGGTGACAGAAGTGTCTGCGAACGCGCCTGAACCTTGCTCGGAGCATGTTTTGCTTCATCCAATCTGCCTCAAACAAATCTGCGGACAGTTGATGACCACTGCGATAGGACCGCCATACAAGAAGCAGGTCTCGGACAGTGTTTGCAGGCTGTGTGCGATGTATTAGCAGTTTACGACCGCGGATTACGAAGCTGACGCCGAGTATCGAAGACTCTTTCTTAATTCATCCTGACATCTTTTTCTTTTTTTTTTGCACAAAGTTTTACGATTTTCTTTTTATTCCAGGTACCTCTACCATCCCGACAAGAACGTTAACGGACCTAACTATTTTGAGAGAGACCTGGGAAGCAACAGTGAGTTTCCTGCAAATATGTTTATTGCGTGTGCTGACTATATATGCCTATCTGTCGAAGTTAATTAGCTTACACGGCGAAATAGCCTTTTTATTTTTTTTAAAGGAAGTCTAAATTAAATAGCACACTTCCGTTATTGATTACACAAACGCACGCCATGGGCACAGATTGATACTTTTGCCCAATGTTCCAGAAAAAAAAGGAAAAAGGGGGGGGGGGGGGGTGATCAGCCATCGGAGGGCCAAAACAATGATGGTTTCATGTAAGGCTCGTCCACATATTACGTGCCGGAGAAAATCAGTCATGTGCTCAAGGTACTCGTGTCGAACCCCGTGTTCACGTTCTGCTCATTAAAAAGGACGGCGATAAAGGCTGCACCCAATATCGTCACAGCCCGAATTTTTAGCCGCAATCGTTTTTGCTTTATAGGTGGGCCCTTGGATAGGCTCCGTTGGTGTAAAATTTTCAGCCCGCACAAATTCTTTGTCACAGACCCTTTTAAAAATTACGATGTCCGTTGCGAGCTTTAGAATAACGTACGCAAAAGCTTCGCGTACTCCAAGAAATACCATCGTCGCCAGCGCGCATGCGTCGAGTCCAAACCGCGTTCTTGACTGGTGCACAGCGACGACGCTATCTCTTTCCAAACGCTAAACTTTCGCATGCGCTATTCTAAAACTCGATAATATCTGCATGTGTTTTCAAGGTTATAAGTTTTTTTAATGAATAACGTAGAATATACGCGTTTCATTCTCTTTACCCAGCTCGGAGCAAATCGCTGATTTTGGACACCGACAACTGCAAGTACTTGGTACAGCTCGAGTGTTTCCCGGACGGCTCTGGTAGGTGAATCGAATATATCATGTTTGCAAGCAGAATACAAATTAAAAAAAAACAAAAAAACATTGCAGTACGGGTTCGGTCGGTCACCTTGTAACGAACTTCGCTGTGACTCTTGCGTCGAAGACGAAGTTGCTTCACTTCGCCGTCAATGACTAATGGCGAATTCCACGGGCCATTTTGGAGCGCGCCGGGATCAGTAGACCAGATCCGAGATGGAGCACGCGATCCGAACGGAGTCGCTCCGCCTCCAGTTCCCCAGTGGAACGTGACCACCCGTACGGGATCGGAGGATGCCTTCCCGTCATTCACTTTCCCGGGACATCCCTCTCCCGCGGTCCCCGATGTCGACGCACATGCTTTCGCAATCGCGGCGCTAGTAACCCTTGTTCAGCGCATGAGCGATGTTAATCATGACATGAAAGATGCCTGTCGGTAAGCGATGTGCATCAGCGTAGCCGACTTGACTCTTCATCGAAACACTCGTGAGCCGTGTTCAGGTACGTCAAGATTTTCAGCCTCTTCTGCGGAAGTCCGAAAAGGCAGTCGAATTCATGCGAGACATACAAGCAATCCTCGTCGTCGGTGCTAATCCAGCCGCTGCTGCTTTAGGAGTTTCTCGATCAACTTGACGACGAACTGTCTTCAAGCAGCAGCAACAGCAAACCAGAAGGCACTTCGCGAGCGGCCATTACGAATTCTTCCGAGGCGATATGTCCGGCGAGAAAGGAAGTCACGTGTACGCTCCGAGGGCTGGCCAGGATGGCTTCCATTCGAATCCACCAAAATCGACGTGGCGACTTTTCTCGAATCCGAATCAAGATCTGGAGTGGGAGCTGGGCCAAAACGGCGAATGGAACACGTCCGAGTCGATCCCGATTGCCCAGTGAAATAGGCGCCCTTCAGGAAAGTCGATCCCGGCACGCTCCAAAACGACCATTGGAATTCGCCATAACTCAGTTGGAATTGGAGGTTCCTTTTTTATATATAATTTAATACTTTCGTAGGGCAAATAAAAATACATAAGCAAAAAAAAAAAAAAAAAAAACTCTGCAGATGTAACTTCCTCTATATATGAGGTTAAAAAATATAATATTTTAGATTAAAAAAAAAAAAAAGAAAAGACCTGGCCCGATTATGGAGCGTTAGCTCTCGAGCTCCAGCACAAGGGCGAATCCTCGACGCGCCGTCAGACAGGAGCACCGTCTGAAAGGTCAGAACCAATTGGCTCAGTTTCTCACCATAGGGCAGTTGCTGACATTCCCATTTGAGTGCCCTGCGATCTGCGCATATCTCACGGCCACAGGCGGCTTCGAATGCGAGCAAGCTATTCCTAGAACTCGCGAGAAGACTCAGACAGCCGACCCCGGTGTGGATAGTACCGACCAGGGCTAGCTACCTCGTCATTCATTCTGCCAGACGCAGTCCGAACGTTGCCGTTCCATCAGAAACGCCCACCACGCGGGCGAAAAAGACTACGCCGATGCCTACAGTGCCAGCCCAAACCACCGGGATCTCCCGGCCCGAAGCGCACGTTCTGATACTATCGTCTGAAAACGCAGGTTCCGAACCTCGCGTCCTAGGACCGGGTGCGCTGTTGCGGAGCTGCTCCTAAGACGTCGTAAAAGGATTAAAAACCGGTCTTGTCTCTACCCGTCCTACTCGGTTGCAAATGTGTGAATGGCGCTTTATAACGAAGTCAACGAGAATCGGAAATCACTTTGCTATATCCGCTATTTCGTTATAACCGACTTCGGTTATATCGAAGTGCAAAAGGGAATGGGAAATCGGAAATCCCTTCGCTATATCCGCTATTTTGTTATAACCGACTTCGGTTATAACGAAGTGCAAAAGAGAATGGGAAATCGTGATCGCTTCGCTGTAGCCGCTATTTTGTTATAACCGACTTCGTTATAACCGGTCTCGACAGCACGGCAACGCTTTGCTGTCTGCCAAGACCCTCCGGTGCTAACAGCCTACCCGCGGAGCCGTCGCGGATCCTTGCAACTGCGTTAAAAAATATGGCAGATTGCTAGGCTTGTGTCGCATACGTGAAACGTTCTAACATCGCGTGACATCAGGTCACTTGATGTCAATTTCCCCGCTAAATTTAGCGGGAAAACTGAATTTGTGTATAGGTCACGTGATATGAAGTCATGTGACATAAAGTTATCCGCTAAATTTGGCGGGAAAACAGAATTGGCGTTGAGGTCATGTGACGTCAATTTTCCCGCTACATCTAGCGGGGAAGCTGACTGTCATAGGACAACATTTTGTGTTTATTTATAGCCTCTAACTTCGGTAAGTTTTTACTTCAGTATTTTCACGGAACATACGCAACGCCTAGCTAAATACTTTAATAGGAAATAAAAATGGCCGGGCATACGCGGAACTGGTTTTGGAGATTTATTTCAAGTGGGTTAGATTATACAGGACAGGCGCAAACTTTCAAGAAGTTTTATTCAGGAAAAGCAAACATATATACACACACGTGTGTGTATATATATGTTTGTTTTTCCCGAATAAAAATGGGTTAGATGAATGGAGCCCTCTCTGTACTACAACCAAACTGGATTCGACTTCTGGTCTGAAAAGTTAGTTCAAGTAGAGAAATTTCTGGTTTAACTTGTTTGTGGGCAATCGGACATTTGAAGATGCAAAATAAATAACGAATATAAGATATATAGATATACTCTCTATGTTATTTTTTTTAGGAAACTCAAAAACGAAAAATGGCAAAGATAAGCAAGGAAAAAAAAAAACTTTCTGCCCAAATTGTGGACATCTGAACACAATATTTTCACCATGCCTTGAAAACAACAAATTTGAATGATCTAAGACAGACGGTTGTGTGTATAACCACTATCATCGTTGTCACAGTTACTGAATGCTAGAAAAACGAAGGGGGCGTGGCTTGTGACGTTCACAAATTCCTGCCTCCCGATTGGTTCTTGGGCATCCTTATCGGCCTATGGCGCCATCTGATTGGCTGCGAAGCGATGATGAGATGCCCGGGACTGCTCCGCATTTCTGCAGGCTGTCGGCGACCGTAGTAGATGTATATTGCTTTCTTAAAACTAAGCTTCTGTAGACGTTGACGTTCCATGCTAACGATTTGGCCCGATCGTGGTGTTCACATATTTAATCGATTAATCGATCGGTTACTCAAAAGTCAATGAATTAATCAATCGATACCTGTTCGTGTTTGTCGTCCTTTTTTGCAGTTACCCGCTACGTCACTTACAAGAACACTTGGACCAGCGAGGAAAAAGAGCAGCTCAAGGTCAAGGCGGAGAATATCGAACAGCTCCGCTTCCTTCGAGACTACACTTTTAACTGCGTCAAAGACAGGGTGTAATGGGTCTGTCACGACACCGAAAGGGCAGATCGCGGCGCTGTGTACGGTATACAGTAGACTTACCTTATTGCAACGTTTACCTTCGAGGACATTTTTTTCATCTTTTTTTTTTCTTCTTGCTAATCGAGCATGGTGGACGAACTCGCAGTTCCTAAAGTCGTCGAGCTCTATAGCTGTCTTTTGTAGACTTCACGTTTACTAAAAAAAAGAAAAGGTGTATCTATTATATATGCGAGTTTCAGTTAAGTGTGTGTGGCGACGAGCGACTCGCATTTATTGCGGGAAGCTACACTAATATGTCGGTTTTATCTCGCCATATATATCCATATACTCCGTTTCACTCTCGACTGCTACTTTACGCTACTGGTTTCGTAAAGTTCCCGTTTTGCTGCCTCACATGATTTCCGTTGGGCGGCGTCGTTTTCTTTGGAGATTTCAACGAGAGAAGACGTGTGTTAAATAAACTCAAAGCCGCGTTCAGAAAGGATTATGCGCGTGTCTTCTTTATTACGTATGTACTCTCGTCTCTTCTACACTCTAAGAAAAAAGTTGACCTCAAGGGACTAACGGCAGCATTTGGTCCTCTGAACTCCCAGTTGCTCCTCGAAAGGACCATCTGGCTCAAGCTAGGTACCGTGCGCAAAAGCTGGGGACTAACTGCGCTCGACTGGGACCAACCGATAGGCGTGCGCGAGCAAAAGCATCCATTAGTCCCCCTCAGACAGGGTGCATCTGTATGATTTAGTCCCCGAATGCAAACGGAATGTTCGCCAGGAGGACGGATGCTATTTCGCTTGTCTTGGGGATCGGCGAGACTCAGCCCAGCACGGCTGAAAGTGTTGACGAAACTCGGACGAAACTGGCGAATTTGTTTAATGTGCCAGGAACGTTAAGACATTGCATGGTAGAGCTTCACGCGTTGTGTGAAAGCGAGTGAACGAATGTGTTGACTCGACTTCTTCCAACTATCTCCTCAAAAACGATCTGTTGACATTCCAGAAGTCCCATTTACGTAATTTGCCTTCGCGCAAAAAATGTGCATTCATCCAAACGCAACACCTCCAAATACTAACACTTTTTTTCTTTTAAAAATGAAACTTAACAGTTTGTAGAAGCCACGCTTTTAACACCGGAGTCTCGCAGTCAGAATAAATGGTCATTTCAATCCCTAAAACTGAGCATTCCCACCGGCGATATAAGCAGTCGCGCGATGCCACTAGATCGCATCGCAAAAAAAATTAGATGGTCACACCGGCGTGTGCGATAAGCGAGTCCAACGCCTTCGTTGGCGAGTCGTTTGTCGAAAACTCTCGCTCCGAACGCCGTTGATTTGCTCAGCCGCTCCGCGACTAGATCGCATCGCAAAAAAGTTGAGTCGAGAAGCGACTGCTCCAATCGCGTCGCTTTTTGCCCGCGATGGTCGCTTTTGCGATGGAAGTTATCGCGCGGCTAGATCGCATCGCCGGTGGGAACGCGCCTCCGTCTCTGTGTGACAAACCTTTCTGGGTAGTCCAATGTCGAACTAAAATCCGCAACGACACACTTGATGCACGGCACGTTCCACTTAAAGAGCACATTCAGGGGCAGTATCCAGACGCCTTCATGCCATCGTCGTCGCTGTTTCCAAAACAATCCAGATGAACTACGAAGAACGAACCACGCCCGGAACGTCACACCTGGCAGCACCCTACTAATACAAAACAAATGCAAACTAAAAAAAAAAAAAAAAGCCACTTGAGAAAGTTGAAAATGCTTAAGAGAGAAAGAGAAAAGAAAGAAAAAAAAAGTGTCTGCTTGAGGTCACTCGACCGGCGTGTTGAAAGTGGCGACCGTCTCCCGTCCTTGGAGCTCTTCGGTGTCCTTGTGTCGTGTGCAGTGGGAGTGGGAAAAGAGATTATCTTCTGCGCGCACAGCCCCCTCCCCCCAATCCCCTACCCCGCATTCTTTGCTCCTTGTACACGCGGAGGGTTGGGCGTTGGTCAGATGGGGTCCGTCGGGAAAACGGGAAGTGTCTTTGTTTGAAAAGAACCTGTTTTTAGTAAGTTGAAAGTCGAAATACAGCCTTCGTCGGAGGCTGGTCGCCTTGTGTCGTCTCCGATCATGCCGGGATCGGGTTTGGATTCGCGGTACTGAAGCACTGCACTTGATCTGTTCTGACGTCGCAAGCCAAGGGAACTCGATTAAGGTATGTCGAAGTGCTTCTGTTTATGGTGTATTTATTAACTGTGGCTTCAGAAAGTGTTTTCTTTTGAGCGCGTTCTCTAGCTTGCAAAGCGCGCGCCATGCTCTATTCTTTTTGGCAGCCCGGTTGCTGATTTTGTTATGCGGCACAGAGACCTCATATTCTATCGTATCGAGCGAAACGCCAGTTCTACCGATGGCTTATTTTTGTGTGTGTGTGTGTTTCGCAGACCCTGGCAGGATCGCTTGACCATAAACGCCTGTCCACATGCAGCGGAGCGCTACAGGCATAACGCTGACCTTGCGCTAAGCGCGTGCTGACGGGATCGGTCAAAAGCTTTGTATCGCACCGACAAAACTCATGCTCACGGCAGACGAAAAGTAGCTCATGACACGTGAGCAGCGCTACATCAGCGCTTCGCTGCGTGTGAGAACCGGCATTAATGGAGACATTTATTCGATTGTACACTAGACTTTCGCGTTGATGGCGGGAGATCATGCCGTCACTTTGAAGCATAGTTTGAGCACGAACGCGCTGGGTCTGTAATTCGCAGCGAACGGTCTACTAAAATCTAATATTGCGCTGGTTTGCTGTCAACAGACTGCGTGTTGGATGTGAACCATTGTATCACTTATGCAGCCTATTTGTTAATTTATTATGCGTGTGTTATAACTTATATCTCATATATTTGTCAAGCGATTCGGTATTAATGCTGCCCTGTTACTAATAATCCAAATTCCTCGCAAACAGGAAAGAAGCTGCCGGAGCCCCAATAAGCGGTGCTGGGACCACGACCGACTTGGGCAGACGTCCCAGTGTCCAAGCCATCGTCGACGCAAGTGCGCTCTTCGGAATCTGGCCTTATCGTGGATTCTACCGCCCTGGAACTTTGACTTCAGTCATCCTTGAATGCGATGTGTATCTACGAGGCAATAAAGCTACTTTTAACCTGAACTCCACAATTTCGTTTCGGGAGCCTAAATCCCAGGGCGCAACGTTTAGTCCCAGAAGCCTAAATCCAAGGGCGCAACGTTTAGACCCAGGGGTCCAAGTGCAAGGGCCTAACAGTTAGTCCTCGGGGTTCATTTGAACCGGTGTAGCAGTTAGTCCCAGGGGTCCAAGCGCAAGGGTCTAACAGTTCGTCTTCGAGGTTCAATTGAAACGGTGTAACAGTTGGTCCCAAAGGACCAAGTGCAAGGGCCTAACAGTTGGTCCTCGAGGTGTAACTGAAAGGGTGCAACAGTTAGTCCCAACGGTGCTAGTGCGAGGGACTAACTGACGGGGCGCAACAGTTGCTCCCGTTACAGTTGCTCCCCTAGGGGACTAATGGTGGTGGCAGCGCATTTAGTCCCCCGAGGGACTAAGTCGCACTCCCTTTTTTCTTAGAGTGTAGGCTAAGTTTCATGATGTTTCTTTGACCAGTATGCCTGTAGGATCCTAAAGCGGCGGTCACTCTGCCAATTCATCATACAAAAAGGCAATCTTTAGGCTAGGTGGCGCAAGCTACCGCCCGTTACAAAGAGTATAGCGATTGACATCCATCCTTTCAACCATCCAGTCTGCAGACTGTCTGAGGCGTGTTTCTTTCTTGTGTGACAATCCTATCACATTGGTGATAAAAAAAAACAACTGTAAACGTGATAAGACCTTTTCATCCTCCTCCGCATGGGCGCTGCCATCTTGGAATCACGTGACGCGGCAGCCATTAGGTTGCTTCAACTTGCTGCTCCGCTCTCCCCTCCGCGCCTTGCCGGATGCGTTGTATTCGTGTTTTTCGTCGCGTTTCACCGCGCTTCTTGCCTTACTTCGTAAACTGTAGTCCGATGCGTTTCCTGGGTGACTAAGACATCACGAAGGTTCAAAGGTCCTTATGACAACTGAGGATTGTTTACTAATAGTGGCGGAACATTCTCAGTCAGAAGCGCGTGTATTTATATCGCGCATTTAGGATCGGAAGGCGTCAAGAATAGTCAGCGCAAGGAGACTATGTGTATTTCCTGAAAGTATCGTTCCTTGCATTCATAATATATCGAAAACACATTCTTTTGATACGTCAGGAAACTCGAGGAGGAGATAGACAACGAACGTTTAACTTGTATTTTATCTGAGGCTAAAGTAACGGTACGTCAATATCAGGCGATTTGTTTGTTCATAATATCACACCTACATATGCATGAGGTCCTCGATCTTTTTTTTGCGTCGTAAACATTCGGTCGGTGGGTTTACTTATGAAATTTAAGAAATTGTATACCGTGATCGCTCCCATTTCGACAGTCATTTAAGTGATTTATGGATTATATTTAGATAACCAGCGCCATCCACTTAATTTACTTTAACACAAAGGTTGAGGCTTCCCGCGTAAGTAACTGTTACAAACACTTAACACTAGCGAGTTTTAGAATAGCGTGCACAAAGAAATAACGTCGTTTCTATTTGCAAATACAAAACGCGGTTTGGGGTTTGCCGCATGCGCAATAAGAACAATTTTTTTCTTTCTTTCTTTCTTTTTTTTGCATACGCTGTTTTATTTGCCAGTATCTAAGATATGCAATATTTGACGAAAAAAAAAAAAAGACCGTCCGCATAACAATTACTTGAGTCCAGGATTGTCGATCGCGAATAGAGATTTACTTTTGGTGGCTGGCGACGCCGAAATTTACAAAGCGAATAAATATTTGTTCACACAGGTCCGTGAAATGGTGCCTAGCGCTAGAATTCAGCCAAACGTTCCGAGGTATTTCTCCTCCTGCGCCCTTTAACTTTATTTGGCCAATTTTACGGAACACAAATGCATGCCAGATTTAATTTGGCGGGCCTGTCACTTAAATTATATTTTGAGTAAGCAAATATTAATATAAAAATCATTTATTTCCTAGAGCCAATATCGCGAAATGCTGTTTATGAGTACTTTAACAGGATTGACAATTTAAGAAATTTCCTACTCGGCCTGTCAAAACATGCTCGAGTACTCCATTAAAAGAAAAAGAGGCCGAGACGATACTACTTGTTTCTATCAATTATGTGCGTCATTACACGATACTTTATTAGTCTGCGAAGTTCACTAAAGGTTGGCTGTCCACGGAAACCAAACAGTGAGGAGTAAACTGGCGAGTTCATCTCTTCTGGCCGATGCAGAACATTGCTAATCAAGCTGTCGATATGCTTCTTTACATTCACGTGTTAGTCTTTTCATTAGTTTTTTTTTTTCTTCTGGAAACTGGTGTCATCTGGTACGGCCGTAGACCATGGTAGTCTTCCCTGTACATCAGTTAGGCGTTTCGCAACCGACCGTAGTCAGATACATCAAAGGAGTTGGAAAAAAAAGCCCATAATTTAGGCTAAAAT